ATCAGCAATTTCGAGTTCCTAGATGGCAAAATGAGAGGAGGAGCATGTGTAATGTTTTGTAGGTGTTGTTCCCACGATCGTTTTGAGTGGTCATTCACTCAATTTGGTTCAGCCGTTTAGCCGTGGCGATAAAAACAAGTTGCTGGGAATCATTGTTGTTGCTGTTCTTAGGTATTCAGATTCAGAAATCAGCGATTTCGAGTTCCTAGATGGCAAAATGAGAGGAGGGGCATGTGGAATGTTTTGTATGTGTTGTTCCCGCGATCGTGTTGAGTGGTCATTCACTCAATTTGGTTTAGCCGTTTAGCCGTGGCGATAAAAACAAGTTGCTTGCTGTTTTTGCAAAGCAGTAATTTTCTCATAGCTTTTGTCCATAGTGTTTCATGATATTTGAGGGTTCATAAATTGGTGTTATACAATGGTATGGCTACCTGGTATCTTATAGTTCGTAGATCAACTCCATTTACTTGATTCCCATGAGTATTTTTGTTACTATGAACTTCAAAAGATGGCTACTCAATATTTTTGAATATGAATACAGCAGAGCAGTTTTTGCCGTTTCTGATGTGCAGGTACTCATCCAGGGTTGTGTTGTTTTTCAGGGATCTATTTAGAGTTTGCTTGCTGGTCCATCTTGGTCGGGGTCTATTTCAGCTCTTGGCTGCTGGGCTGGTATGTCGTGCCATTGTTGGTGCTCGAGGTTGCTTCACTCGTCTCTTTGAAGGTGATTCTTTACTCTCGCCTAGCCTCCTCTATGTCTTTCGAGGTTGTTGGGTTCACGAAGAAAGTGTTCAGAGGGCGTAGCTCTTATAGCATATCACAGAGAAAGTGTGCAAAGGGAGTGGCTCTCGTAGGTTAGGCGATCTTGTGCAGATTTTATCGTCCGTGGTTTTTTAGTTCAGGCACAGATGAACATCAAGATGCAGAAAATGAATATAGGCTTGACTTTGGTTTTATTAGGTATCTTAAAAATCGAGTTTGACTTTAGTTAAGGCAAAGATGAGCATCAGGATCTAATTGTGTTTGATTTACCTATTCAGTGAAGTTGAATCGGTGCTTTGGAGATGTCATATCTAGGTTATTGCACACGGATAAGAGTTCTTATATTCCGTTACGATGATGGAGATATCCAGCATCTTTTAAAAATAATGTGACAATATTGGTTGGTTTTGGTTATCAATCCTGAATCAGAAACTTAGAAAATATAAAACATCTTCATCCGGTTGTATTTAAATATCTGCTTTACGGCGGCAGATGCTATATGTTGGGTTGATCTCCATCGCCTGTAGCTTTTAGATGTACTTTCTGGATAGGGTGTCTTCTCTTCGGGGTGATTATCTGATGGTCGTCTTCTCCTGAGTCAGGTTGATATGCATTCAGGTTGCTGTGCATGTATACTATGATTAATGGCTGGTTGTAATAACTCGTGGATATTCATTGTTTTTTATTCAATGTGTATCTTATCCTTTGCCTGACCATGTTACTGGTACATGGGTATAATGTAAGATGGTTTATGCACTTGAATGCCTGATGTTATGCTATGTAGGGTTATATCGGTCCTTCTTCTAATGTTATGTGTCTTGCTTCTTATTTGCCTAGCATTCCTGTATGACGTTGTCTGGTCATTGACATGGCACGTGCCCCGATTGCGGCTCATGGTCAAGGCACGTTTGAAGCTGTCGCTGGGTTGGTAGGTGGTCGTGGGCGTGGTCGTGGGCGGGCTGCTGCTGGTCGTGGACGTGCCAGCGGCCGTGGAGGTTGTAATACTGGGTGTGACCCTGTTTCTGATTGTGTTGCTGGACGTGCGGATGCTACTCGTCGGGTGCCTGTCGCTGGAGCCCAGCCTGTCGCCAGGCGTCGGGGTGCTGCTCGGCGGGTGCCTGCCGCTGGAGCCCAGCATGTTGCGGGGCGCTGGGGTGCTGCCTGGCCGGTGACTGACATTGGGGTCCAGCCTGTCGCTGGTCATGGGGGTGCTGCTCGGCAGGTGCCTGCCACTGTAGACCAGCCTTTCGCCGGGCGTGGGTGTGCTGCTTGGTGGGTGCCTGCCGCTGTAGACCAGCCTGTTGCCGGGCGTGGGGGTGCTGCTCGGCCAGTGACTGGCACCGGCCGTGCTGTTGGACTTGGGGCTGATGTCCCTGCTCGGCGGGTGTCTGGCGCTGGGATTGCTAGGCATTACGTGCCGCGTCAGCCTATTGGGTTTCCTCCTCGCAGGCGTACATGTAAGTCTCTGTCCGTAGTTTTTCTTCCTTCTTGTCTCTTAGGGTGCTCTACCAATTACTTCATTTCGGTGTTGTTTATGATGTGTTAGGTGATGGTTGGTTTCCTTATCTGAGCTCGGCCATGGCGGCTACAAATCGCAGAAAACGGAAAGGGTGCGTTGAGTTTCGGCGTGCTCACTATGAAGGTGCGTGCGAGTTCTTAGTTTATTGTTAGTTGTTGTCGTTTGGGTGTGTGGTGCCTTACCTGTTTCTGCATGTTCTGTTAGAACGCGTCGCCGACGGCACCTTGCCGAAGGATTGGCATGGTTTCTCGGTTTATGTGAGCTCGGAGGTTACCGGGGTGGATCGCAACAAATGGAAAAAGCGTAAAGTGTCGATTAGACTGCGTCGTCCTGGACAAGAAGGTGCATGGAATTCCTTGATTTCTTCTTGCTTTTTGTTGTTTCCACGTAGTCTCTTATTTGGTCGTACGTGTCTGGTTAGATGTTGTTGTCAAAGGGCCTTTGCCGAAGGATTGGCAAGGTTTCTCGGTTGGGTTTGCTGAGTCTCTTAAAGGTACCTACTAAAAAATCATTATTTCCCTGGTCGTGTCATTGTTGTTTTTTCCTTTACGCATGGTTTGTGCCTGATAGTCTTGTGCTTTGGTGGTTGTTAGCTTGCTATGCAGATAGGTCATACTGTGGCCCTCCGGATTTCTTATGCCGGTATTGTGGTGCCTCCTTCTGGTTTGCTGAGTGTTCCAAGTCCGGGTCATCCTGGACACAACGTAAGAAGGTTTACAATCGCTGTTGTAAAGGGGCTAAGGTCTATATTCCTCCTTTTAAGGATCCCCCGGTGTCGGTGTCAAAACCGGCGGATCTCGGGTTCCCGAACTGTGCGTCTAGGCGGATGGTAACAGGAGGCAGGGGACACGATGTTTTACCCAGGTTCGGGCCCTCTTGATGGAGGTAAAACCCTACATCCTGCTTGATTAATATTGATGATATGGGTAGTACAAGAGTAGATCTACCGTGAGATCAGAGAGGCTAAACCCTAGAAGCTAGCCTATGGTATGATTGTTGTTCGTCCTACGGATTAAAACCCTTCGATTTATATAGACACCGGAGAGGGCTAGGGTTACACAGAGTCGGTTACAATGGTAGGAGATCTACATATCCATATCGCCAAGCTTGCCTTCCACGTCAAGAAAAGTCCCTTCCGGACACGGGACGAAATCTTCAATCTTGTATCTTCATAGTCCAGGAGTCTGGCCGAAGGTGTAGTCCGGCTATCCGGACA